TCATAGCTTTTGATTTTTTTTTTTTTCCATGTTTCTAGTCTTTAGTAGATTTTTTTAATATTTCAATCAATATTTTTAATCTTTTCAATACACTTAAAAAGTAAAGTATTTGTGAATAAATCTAAAACAAGTTTACTAAAGCTTAAAAAAAAAATCATAAATGTTTAAATTTTTTTTACAGATATTTTATTTTCTTTATATGCATCTAAGTAGGCGCATCTAAAAAGTAAACAATTTAACTAAAATATGAAAAGAAAAAAAAAAGTTTACTAAAGATTAAAAATAAATAAATAAATTCAAAAACAATTTTTTAGTTTGAAAACCAAACAAGAAGAATATTTTATTTTAAATTTTTTTGGTATAGCTAATGTTTTATGATATGTGGGCTGTTGATATAATTTCAACCATTAAGGGTGATGTTTTGGGTAATGCTATATATACAAACAAAATATTTATACAATTTTTTTTTTTTATACAAATTGATCTCATCTTATATTTTCTAATTTCATATTAAAAAACTGACTATTGTGACTTATAATTTAAAAAATGATACTACCATGTAGTTGACCTTTTTTTTTGTGTATAAAAATTGAGTCGTTAGATCATTTTCTTCTCTTATTGTATTGATTTGCTGACTTTAGATGTCACGGCCCGCTCCTCGTACCGAAGAATTAAGTATTGTAATGGTCAGTAACTGAACTCCGGCCAATTCTTAAACAAATTACTAAACACAAGTGAAAAAAATATTTAAGTAAGGATACTAAAATAATCATTGGAGCTTCTATTTTATTAAATTGTCAGAGCTGAATTATGTCTACAAGGTACTTTGTGCCTACCCCATACGCTGGCCCTGACATATCACTTGAAAGTGGTAAACAATTATAAGCACATGACAGAATGAGAAATAGTATATTAAAAACATAAGGGCATAAAATTCACCATGATAATTATGGGGCTAAACAAAGCTTGATATTAAAATACAAAATACAAAATACGGAAATCATTTGACATATAATACAGAAATTACATAAATAACTATAAACACCGTACAGAACTGAACAGTGGTCACCGAAGTGACAATCAAAACAGGGGTTAATGGATCCATGACAAACAGAGGACCACAAAGTGACCAAACAATGGCCAATGGTTATGTAAGTCCCCAAAACATGGGACCCCCGTGATAATACTTATAAAATAATTACTCAAAACACATTTTAATAAACAATTATATCTATGAATTTTCCTTATTATATAAATAAGGTTCATAAAATAAATAACATAATTAAAACATAATTACGTAAAATAAATTATAATAACTTAAAACATATAAAAAATATATTAAAATAACTCAAAATATAATATAACTCTTCCCAATTTTAATTTTTACTTTTTCTCCGAGCCTTCATGATCTCCCAAAACTCTGTTCTTTTCTTACCAATTCCGTTAAATCCTATGCCATCTATGCTTTCCTTTTATACTATGGCTTGGAGGTGACTAATCATCACGTTGAAGTGCTGATTCAAGGGTCTATCCATAGCTTCCACATGTAGCAGTAAATCCCTGCAGCTAGCTGCTTACGTCTCGCTATAATTTTTTACAGCAATGCTAGAGGGTCACAAAATTAATAACTTAAATAATTCAAAACTGTCAAAATGACGTTATTTTGGGCACAAAACGACGCAAAACGACATCGTTTTGACAATTTTGAGCCATTTAAGCACTGATTTTGTGGCCCTCAAACATTTTCTAATTTTTTATTGGCCCAACTATTTATATTAATTTTATAGTCGTTTTAATTAATCCTAAATTAATTTTATTCGATAAATATAATGATTCCTAATTAAATTATATTTTAACACATATAATTATAAAATTAAATATTCTTTTCCAAATATCAATTTAACTATTTTATATTCATTTAATTTAAAGTATTCAAAAATAAGGATGTTACATTAGAGCTATCAAAAGATGATGAGTTTATTCAACAAAAATAAAAATAAAAAATATGAAGATGAGTTTGTAAGAGCATTTTCAATGGTTTGCTATTGGAGTTGTCATTGCTATAATTTGGCAGCTGGAGGAGATGAAAAATGGTGCTCCAATAATTAAATATGACAACGGTCAAATTTGACAAATGTCAAAACTTGTGCCAAATTTAACATAAGATATGGTAGTTGTTCATCTAGTTATCATCTGGTAATTGATCTAAATATTACAATTCAACTGCTTAGTCCTGTAGTATTTAAATCAACTTTTAGATTAAAAAAAATGGTGAAGAGGATCACTTCTTGCACCATCACTGCTTGCATCTAAATTGAAAATTATTAAATATTTTAAAATATCAACATTGTTTACATAATAATTTCAATAAATGATAAATCACATATTAATTACATCATTCGTAGTCACTCAATTATATAATAAATATGAATTAACATGTTCTACTGGTAAATTAAAGTTTATTTTGACAACTCATTGTTTTAGTCAAAGAGTAAAAAAGTCACTATAAAAAAGTAAATTATTTCTTGTATTTTTTTACATGTCTTTTTATAAAAAAAAAAAGTCTATCTAAAAGTCAATTGAGTTTGGTTCGACAAAAATGAGCGATATATATTTGGTGATGATGCAAATGATTGCGATGATAAAACAAAAATTCTTCGACGTTCATTTTGTGTAATAACCACATGTTACTTTCAAATCTTTGTTTTCTTATATCCCAAATTTAAAATATTTTTTTAAGTGAGTTTTCTATTTTTTACAATAAAAAAATGTAAGAAAGTAAATTGAATAAATATAAATATTTAACTTTTTTATATATTTTTTTAGTTATATTAATCTGTTGCCAAACGAGACTTGAATAATTAATGTATACTAAGTTGTTAAATTATTAATCTCTAATACATCCAATACTGTTTTTATTTTTACAAAAAATATTACATATATATATATATTTATTTAACAGGGAAAAAATAATTCAAATATGTTTGGGGGTAATTTTACAGGGACAAGTGTTATTGGTTGTTGGGCTTAGGCTGACGTGCAATGACCCTGTTTGGTAGGTCTTATTTCTAATTTATTTTAGTTTTTAATTTAATTTAAACTATTTTGATGTGTTTGGTTCAGCTTAATAATATAGTTTATAGCTTTTTATAAGTCAAAAATTAACTTATTTTTTGAGTGAGGGAGGAAAAGCTTAATTTATAAATCAAAAATTAATTTATATTCACAATTATAAATTATAAACTATTAGCCTATAAATTATAATCACTTTCTCATAACTCTATTAAACGAGCCCCATAACACGTACGTCATCCAACGGTCAAACTTTAGCAGTCGTTGACCACAAGACACCGCCACATGGCGAAGCGTTTTTCACTCGTTATCCACATGGTGTTAAATTCACATTTTTAATACTAGTAGTAGTTAGCAACATAAACTAAAAGTTTGAGTTTGTTTTTACAATGAGGTCTGTTTGTTGCTATCACCAGTTGGGTTTTGCTTACCAGCTCATCACATTTATTACTTGTGATGCAATCTTCCGACTTTTTGCATTATGGAATATGCCATTCTAACATCATGCCTGATCACAGTTATATTTTTTTTTTTATTTGGATACATTTATGAATTGTTTTGAAAAGTTAGTTAAAAATTAAGTTTTTAATTTTTTTTTGAAAAAGTTTATAAAAAAATAGAAAGATAATGTAACTAAAATAGTTTAAAACTTTTGATTTTAGCCATCTTCTCAAAAGAGACCTTTGTCAAATCCTAATAAAGTTTATCATTTGGCTTAGGAGTCAAAATCTAAGTTAGTCCTATTAACAAGGGTTGGTTTAATGATAAGACCTTTGAATTTCTTACTCAAAACTTGGGTTCGAATCTCTATAACCTCTTATTGGAGATAAATATATTTCTTAAGGCCCAAAGCACAGGAGGCCTTAGCTTCGGTCCCGATCTAGATACGGTGGGGTTCCTTGTAGATGTACTGTAGGTACTAAGAGGCAATACTCATTGGCGGATATGTGGCGTAGTTTATTTACATATCCATTTTATGAATCAAAAAAAAAAAATCTAAATTAGTCATATCCAGTCTTTATCTTATATGAGATGGGTTAGCCTGAATAAACCTTGTCTTGGGATTAGACTTAGATGTTAAAACTAACTCCGGCTTCCAAACTTGACAAAAAATTAAATAAAAAATAAAAAATATTTTTAAAAAATAAAAAGCCCGAATCTTGTAGTATTGAGCTTAGGCCTCGCAAGATTCGACCATGCAACCTCTTAAATGGTAAAACTTTTGGTTGCCTCTCCTTCCATTACCTCTTGGGATTCAAAATATAGAAACGTTAAGAAGGCTAAAATCACTAAAAAATATTAACAAGGCATGAAAATGACAAGTGAAAAAACACACACACATCTAAGTCAATTCAAATATAAGATAGAATAAAACACACAATAAAAAAATACACAATTAAATTACCCCCAAGATTTGGCATAGTAAATGAGACTTGAGATTTGAGAATAAAAAAATACACAATTAAATTACCCCCAACATTTGGCATAGTAAATGAGACTTGAGATTTGAGAATTTATTCTCGCTAAAGTATTAGGTTTAAAAATTTATTTAGACTATAGAGACTTAATCTTATGTACGCAAATCTAACTTAAGATGCCCTACATATATAAAAATAAAAAATAAAAATAAATTTGTATAAATTATAGCCTTAGATCTATGCCAATTGAATAGTTCTTTGAGATGCAAAGGGTCAAAGCCAAACCGACCTAACAAATATATAATTATTTTTTCTGGTGGGAGCAACATTTGACCTGGAAATAGATGTTTCTAGTTTGCCCTTTTGAATAGGGGATTTTACAAACCCTCCTTGGGACGGCAATTATTACCCACACACGGTTTCAGCTACTCCTTTCCTTCCCCAGATAATTCAAGAAACCTCCTCACATAAATCCTCTCTGTACACACACCCTACCATCTATATATATATAGTCCTCCCCAAGTTATCAACTCTCATCATCAAAGTTCATATGAGTTTTACCTTCAATTACCAATGAGCAACATTCCCAAATCTCTAACAGACTCTTCTTTGTCCCTCTTCAAACTAGCCATCTCTGCTTCTGATCCTTGGCCTTTCTCTCTCTCTTGTTCCTTGTAACCTCTAAGAAAAACAAGAAAACAAGACTAGGGTTCTTTTCTTGTTTCTTGTGGATTTTTTATTTTTTACTTTTGGAAAACTCAAAGAGCCCACAAACGCGCAGCAACAATATTGACCCAATTCGTCATAAAAAAAGTCCAAACGCGCAACATCAGGATCCAACATACATTGTTTCGATTTCTTAAAATGGTTAGTGGATACAAAAATCACATGAATTTTCATCTACATGTTCCCCATCTTCATCTCCTCCACCACCATGGGAAGGAGGAGGTGAAAGACATACCAAAGGGTTTCTTAGCAATCATGGTGGGGCAAGGGGAGGAGCAACAGAGGTTCATCATACCTGTGATGTACTTAAACCATCCACTCTTCATGGAGTTGTTGAAGGAAGCTGAGGAAGAGTATGGTTTTGATCAGAAAGGACCCATCAACATTCCTTGCCACGTGGAGGAGTTTCGCCACTTCCAAGACTTGGTTGAAAAAGAAAATTCCGACCACCACCACCACCACCATCACGGCGGCGGCCACCACCACCATCTTTTGTGCTTCAGGGTTTGAAAGATCGATTATGGTGTCTCTGTCTATGTAGATTTGTGAATTTTTATTTTTATGGCGCTTTTTAACAGTTTGTTTGGATGTTAATATAAAAGTAGTCAGATTGTTGTAGACGATGCTGATGAGAAGTTAAATGATAATATAGATTGTTTTAGGTGTATGTGTATTGTAATTTAAAAGTGTAAAAAATTGTAATAATAAAAACATTTGTACATAAACATTTTTTAAACATATGAATCTTAATTTGTTTATTGGGTTAAGTACATATTGATTTTATTTTTGAATTTCTTAATTTAATCCAATTGATAATTTTTTTAAATAATTAAACGAAAATCTCAACAATATATATTGACACTTTTAAAATAATCAATATATTTACTCTTTTTGGAGTAATTAAAGTATGATTCTCTAAATGAACTTCAATAATATTGTTGGGCACCCTAACATTAATTTGGATTTTTTTTTTTTGTGTGTGTGTGTGTCTTGAATGCTAGAATTAATTAACCAGTCTCATTCTTTTCCTTCATTGATTATTGTCGGCCCCTCCCACTGTTAGCCCCTTTTGTTCTCTTTTCGACGCTCATCCATCCTTTATTATCCCTCATTCTCAAACCGTCCTTACTAGAGAGAATGAGAGTGAGTCGTAAAAAGGGAAAGGCGAGGCATCGAGAGGGGATTGTGGTGGAGGAGGTAAGGTGTCAAGGTGGTGTTGGAAGTTAAGAAGGGGTTAAGGGTGGCACCAAAGGGTGGGGAACAACTAGGGCATAGCAAGAGAGATGGAAGATGATGGTCAGAATTGGGTTGTTTCATTTCTTTTTACCATTATGCCAAAAGACCATTAAACACTTACATCACCTTCTCTTTTAGACCATCATTCGAATTTTAGTTTTCGTATTATAGATCTTGGGTTTTGTTTTGTATCTAACAATCATGAATTATAAATATAATTTGCCTTGGATTTTTGAAATCATTTTTTCCCTTTGTGATGTCTATATACTATTATATAAATCCAATATTTTTTCTTGGTGTGACTGTCACATTCTTTTAATTTCTCAAAATGCCCGATTCAATTACAAATTGCACACATCTACTCTAATTAATGTGAACACATGAAACTCGTTGGAGGGAGAGAGAGTTGTTGGGCAGGTGGAGGGGTCTAGTGTCCAGAGAGAGAGAGAGAGAGAGAGAGAGAGAGAGAGGAGGGATTGCTTAAGGACATAAATTTTGATTAGGGATGTGGATGGAGGGTGTTGTGTTGTGTGGTGTAGGTTCCTCCTATAATGGTAAACACACGGAACCTCCTCAGCAATATATCACCGTTTCATCACCCAAATTCAACTTGCCTTTTCACACATCATAGGAAAAAAAGTATATTAATACCAAAAATCTAGATCACCCAAGTCAAACAAAATACGCTATCATGTTTATATATATAGACGTAAATATTTTTTCTTACATATGCAACTTTAGGGGATAGGGTACGGCGTGGCATTATCATTTGGTGCCTTTCTTTATTCTCATTAATTTAGATTATAAAACTTATTATATTTATGTTAGGTACTTGGGGAACATGAAGGGAGTTACATAATTTATGATTGATTAAAGAGAAATGTTAGAGATAATGAAAAATTTTTTATGAAAATGATCATGAAAAATTTGTGACCCTTTAGATTACCTTGATTAGTGTGTGGTGCTTTATTGTAAGTGTAATCCAAAAGTCACAAATCTTTCATGACCATTTTCATAAAAGACTTTTCATAAGTTGTTGATTAAAAGGTACCAAATGACATGCCACTGGGTACCGTATTGGTACCCAATAATTTTTCCATTCTTTTTTTTTTTTTGTGTGTGTGTGTGTCTTGAATGCTAGAATTAATTAACCAGTCTCATTCTTTTCCTTCATTGATTATTGTCGGCCCCTCCCACTGTTAGCCCCTTTTGTTCTCTTTTCGACGCTCATCCATCCTTTATTATCCCTCATTCTCAAACCGTCCTTACTAGAGAGAATGAGAGTGAGTCGTAAAAAGGGAAAGGCGAGGCATCGAGAGGGGATTGTGGTGGAGGAGGTAAGGTGTCAAGGTGGTGTTGGAAGTTAAGAAGGGGTTAAGGGTGGCACCAAAGGGTGGGGAACAACTAGGGCATAGCAAGAGAGATGGAAGATGATGGTCAGAATTGGGTTGTTTCATTTCTTTTTACCATTATGCCAAAAGACCATTAAACACTTACATCACCTTCTCTTTTAGACCATCATTCGAATTTTAGTTTTCGTATTATAGATCTTGGGTTTTGTTTTGTATCTAACAATCATGAATTATAAATATAATTTGCCTTGGATTTTTGAAATCATTTTTTCCCTTTGTGATGTCTATATACTATTATATAAATCCAATATTTTTTCTTGGTGTGACTGTCACATTCTTTTAATTTCTCAAAATGCCCGATTCAATTACAAATTGCACACATCTACTCTAATTAATGTGAACACATGAAACTCGTTGGAGGGAGAGAGAGTTGTTGGGCAGGTGGAGGGGTCTAGTGTCCAGAGAGAGAGAGAGAGAGAGAGAGAGAGAGGAGGGATTGCTTAAGGACATAAATTTTGATTAGGGATGTGGATGGAGGGTGTTGTGTTGTGTGGTGTAGGTTCCTCCTATAATGGTAAACACACGGAACCTCCTCAGCAATATATCACCGTTTCATCACCCAAATTCAACTTGCCTTTTCACACATCATAGGAAAAAAAGTATATTAATACCAAAAATCTAGATCACCCAAGTCAAACAAAATACGCTATCATGTTTATATATATAGACGTAAATATTTTTTCTTACATATGCAACTTTAGGGGATAGGGTACGGCGTGGCATTATCATTTGGTGCCTTTCTTTATTCTCATTAATTTAGATTATAAAACTTATTATATTTATGTTAGGTACTTGGGGAACATGAAGGGAGTTACATAATTTATGATTGATTAAAGAGAAATGTTAGAGATAATGAAAAATTTTTTATGAAAATGATCATGAAAAATTTGTGACCCTTTAGATTACCTTGATTAGTGTGTGGTGCTTTATTGTAAGTGTAATCCAAAAGTCACAAATCTTTCATGACCATTTTCATAAAAGACTTTTCATAAGTTGTTGATTAAAAGGTACCAAATGACATGCCACTGGGTACCGTATTGGTACCCAATAATTTTTCCATTCTACAATACATCATAATGATGATTCCTTTAGAGAAATTTAATTTTTTTTATAGTACACCTATTATATTTTAAAAATATTAATTTTTTAAAATTATCTTTTGATAATACATTTTTTAAGAATATCAATTGTTATAATTATATTTTTTTATTATTAATAAATTTAAAAGAATGGTAAAATAGTAAATTCATATTATTTTATTCCTTAATTTTTGAAAATTGACTAATATTTTAGAACAATAAAAAATAAAATAAAAGACTAATATTTTAAAACGAAAGGAATCTATACTATATATTAAGCAAAAGGGAGTTTTTAACCCCAAACCTTGTGGGAGTTCCAATCTCCCAATCTGAATTTCTTGATTTTTTGATTTTAAAAAACAAAAAAAAAACCTTAACATTTATTAACTTCTCCCAACCCCTAAGTCTTACCTTCATAATGACACTTTAATGCATTAAGAACAAGCATAAAAAAAATTCTTTGAAATCCGACACATATGAATTCCTTGAAAAGTCTCAACACATATGATTATTATCCCTCATAATAACACTTTAATGCATTAAGAACAAGCATAAAACAAATTTCTTGAAAAAGTCCAACACATCTATCTATATCTATACTATATATTAAGCAAAATGGGATTTTAAACCCCAAGCTTTGTGGGAGCTCCAATTTCGCAATCTAAATTTCCTGATTTTTTTATTTAAAAAAAAATCTTAGCATTTATTAACTTCTTTCAACTCGCAAATCTTATCATCATGATAACACTTTCATGCATTAAGTACAAGCATAAAAAAAATTCTTTAAAATCCAACACATATGAATTCCTTGAAAAATCCCAACACATATGATTATTATCTCTCATAATAACATTTTAATATATTAAGAACAAGCATAATTTTTTTTTAAAAAAAGTCCAACACATATGATTATTATTAAAATATTAAACTTTAATATAATATAATAAAAAAAGACATTTAATTCCTTGAAAAGTTCAACATATATGATTGTTATCAAAATATTAAACTTTAATATAATGTAAAAAAAAGAAAAAAAGAAGACATTTTAAAAAAAAATATTTTAAAATCACAATTCACATATATAGATAATTATAAATATAATCTGTGCATAGCATAGGTGATATACTAGTATTAGTCTAACCCAAAATTTAGTTCCAATTAAGTTCAATTGTTCACAAAAAATTGGACGAGTTATTGAGTTAGTGGGTGGGAGATAATAAGACTTGTTCATTTAATTTTATTTAAATTTTTTTTATTAATTAATGACACTATATAAATCATATAGAAGTCCCTCATAGTTGTCTTTTGTTTTTTGGATATTAAACTTAATTTTTTTCTTCTTCTTGGAAAATAAAAATTGCAATGATTGTGATGTAAGAATACTTTAAAAAATGTCTCATATAAATCTCGAATGAATCAAATGATTAAAAATTCTTAAAATCTAATTGACTTTTTGTTAAGATTAATACATCTAAGTGAAATTGAGGTCTTGTTTGTCATTTAAAAAAAAAAAAAGTTAAAAAGTCACTATCCTATTTAAATCACATCATCTTATTTAAGTCATATCACCTCTCTACAAAATCATTTTAAACTCAACTCATATTTCATAAAAAGCAAAAAGGTGTACTTATTTAGAACGTTCCAAACAACCCTTTAAAATATACTGATAGGTCTTAATTTTTTTTAAAATAAAATGTATATAGCCCAGTTTGGATGTCAATTTGGACTAAAATAATTATATAAGACAAAATATGCCATTTTAATTAAATATGACAAAATTTTACATTCAATCTATAATCATTTTATTTTTTTTCTTATAAAAATTAAAAAATTCATCCGAAGGCACCGTTTGGGAAGGTGGGTTGGAGGCTTTTTTGGCTATTTTAGCCACAAAAAACAAAATAGGCTATTTTAGCCATAACAAACAAAACATCACATCCAACCCATAATCATTACATTCTTCTCTCACAAAAAAACTCAAAAAAGCCAAAAAGTCAAAAAGCCCTTCCCA